GTAATGATTCGGAACCCATTTTCCTTTTCATTGTTTAAGTAGTGAAAAACTAAACAAAACGCTGGGGTTACTCATACGCCCCGTTAACAGAGACACAAATAAGTACACACATCCGCAAAAAATAAAAAAGTCATAATTGCCGGAGAGCAAAAAGAAACATTACGCTAACAACAAATAAACGAGCGTCGAAAATAACACAAAACACTAAATCTATAAATACTATATAGATATAGCGAGAAACAAAAAACAACAGAAATGGATCACAAAGAAATCGCAAGTCAAGTGCGAGGTGAGCTAAGTATGGAAAATAATTTCTTCTCTTCTTTCGCACACTAAGTTTTGCTATTTTTATGATACTCACAAGTCCAGATACTCCAATAAATATTTAAGTTTATTGGACTTACTGTGGATCATAAATTTAATCTACACATTTCATTAACTACTTTGTTTAGCCACTGCAATTAACTCAGTCACACATTTCCATGATAGTGCTAAGCGAGCACATGATGTTGATATAGGCAATTATCACTGAAAACCAATATTCATGTGTACAATATTTAAAAATGAAATTAGACCAGGGGGAATTTCACAAAACAGAGTCGTGTGTCATGCCAAATCGTACACCCACTCACCGAAGAATTACAAACAAAACAGCGAGCCACAATCAAACACAATCAACGGAATTTCCAATCTAATCAACACGATAACTTTCTGTTGTACTGTGTTGTTTTATGTGCTTTTTTTTGCTCATTTGTTGTCAATTAACATACTATCTTATCTTTGCCAGGCGCCAACAAAGTCCATTCTCATTATTAATATTGAGAATCTACTCATTTTCCTTATTACAAATGATTGACTTTGATTAAATTTAGATTTCTGCTTCCGAGAAAAGCGTTAGTGTGACCATGCTTATATGATTTCACCTTAACTAATTGAGTGACCATGTGCCTTGCATATTTCCCTATAATTAGGTTCTTATTAATGTCAATCAATGGTATAATATTATTCATGACTCTTGCTTTTTGTTACAAAGTAAATAAAAATCCCTTACAACTTGAACTGTGATTCAACCCATCCCAAGTCAGTTTCATGACTCCCACTTGGCTTTTTCTCTTTCCAATTTTCCGCAGAATAGTTATGGCTTTTTTTTTGTCGTTCGCCAACTTTATATTCAACTCTGCAGACTGTGGACTCCCACGCAGTTCCCCATATATGTAAGTGACAAATAGAGGCTCTTGAACGTACACCCACGCCCACTTCAATTTGACACGTTTGAAGTGTTGAAAAGCCCGCGTAAAATGTTCAAGCCGTGTCCTTTGTGCGGGATAATTTGATTTCACTGCGAACATGAAAGGGGATTAATATTGCTTATTGCCAGGCTATTAATAGCCATGGAAATTCTAGAACAAAAGGGACAAATCTGGGATTTAGTCTTTGAAAAAATAAAGCCTTTAAAAAATATTTTGTTTTTAGGGTTGAATAACTTCAGTAACTGACCCACATTTACTCTTTCAATGCAAAGAACTATATAAATCCGTGACCCTGATGAAAACCTCAGAGGCCAAAATAAAATGGCACTTCCTCATTTAAGTCACATTTCATGGTCGCTGTGGTTTATGCATAGAGCAATTCCCACCCCAGCATTTTATTTCGCCTCGCAAATCCTTCGCCAATATGTGTGTGGGATGGCAAAAGTTTTTGGAGCTAAAAAACTTTTCACTTTTAAGCGTTATTTACGACGGCATTCACAGCTTGCAAGTGCAATTTATTGGGGTGCCTCTGTGAGCTTTCGCAAAGTGTTGGCAAGTTTTGTTGGCAACTCAATTACATCGGTCCCACCGAAAACGAGGCTCCGGGGACGGACCCAAAGGCATATAAAGGATCTGTCGAGCGAGCGATGCAATGCAATTATCAAGTTCATTGACAACGCAAGAATAAGCGACAAACCAAAACAGACAAGGGCAAACAACAAATGTTTTTCCCTCAGCCCCCTTTCCAAAAAAAGTTTTATTGCTCAAGTGCAGTTGGTGGGGCGTTCCCCTATTTCGCTTTACGTAGCCCCCAGGAATACTTGGAAAATCCACGGAATAGGAACTCCCGAAGCTGTCGCCTCAATTAGTTACAGCGACACTTACAGATGGCCAACTTTCTGCCACATCGCACTTTGACTTTGTCATGGAAATGTCGAGCTGAACTGATGGAACCCAAACTTTGTCATTGTCCCGATTTAATAAGGCAATTATAAAACTTTCGCTAATTGCTAGTGCCAACAATTTTGCGTTCATCTTACTTTATAATTTAGTAAAAGGCCAAAGGTAAAAGTCCTTCGATTTTAAATCTGTACAGAGTTTTAATGACAAGCAAGGTAATTTTGTACAGCTAGGGAAAAATAACAACAGAAATTGTATGTAAACTATTTTTGTTATATAAAATATCTTTTTTAAATGGTTATTAGTCTTTTCTAAAATATTTGATATTTTAAAAGGGCGCAACATAGTTTTTTATCAAGCAAGAAAGTATGCTACAATATATTTTTATGCATCAATGATGAATTTTAATGTCATTTTTTCACGGCATACTTTTATACACCCTAGATATTAACAACTATTCATTATATATTACATTTTATTTCTTTCCACAAATCAAACATTATTAATTAAAAATTAAATGAAAATCATTTCAGTTACTTTAATGAAATCAATCAACTTATTGCTAGGATTTTTGCAAATTTCTTGGAATCCTAATACTTTTTCCTTTGAAATTGTGTTCATTACCATATCTGAGTTTTGCCAATATTTTAGATTATAACCACCTCAGCCATCGATCCGCTGCCAATGCCATAAAAGTCGAAGTGAGCAACAGACCAATTTGATTTCGCTTTGAGCGTCGCAATATATATGGTATATCTGCTGTGAAAGCGACGACATCAACTTAACTAGATGCCAATCAAATGCGCCGATGCCGATCCGTGGGTTAACCTCAATATGCCCCAGTGTCCCGACACCTGTCATTCCCTCCATTCCCCTGGAGCCGCAGACAGTGCACTGTGAAATATTGGTGTCAATGTGTCAATATTTGAAGTATAAACACGTGTGCAATTACAAACTATACAAGTACGGCAGCTCAAGTGTGTGTGGTCGTATTAACAAAAGCTACGGCAACGGAAGTGCTCTACATACAAGCCCCGGAAAAGGGGGAAAATGGAAAAGGGAAAAACTGGGCGAAACGGGGGCGTGGTCTGGTGGAAAAGCGGCTTTTGCCCAAAGCAATTTACATGCAATTTTCGCATATCTTCTGTCCCTATTCCGTTTTTCCTTTGCATCGCAATCCGGCCAGCGGCTGTCTTTAAAGGATAATATTGCTTTTTGCTATCCTTTCGTATTCTAATTTTATTACACATAAAAAAGAATTTTTCTGGATTTGTTCTTAGAACTATTCAAAAATTTATACATGATGAAAAATATTTTCAAAGTTGATATGTAAAAACTTTAGATAACTTAAGAGTTTTGGTTTTCTATAGATAAAAATAAAAGAATATTTACAACAACGATTTTAAGCTCAAAGTAAAATGTTTTTATTCAAAAAGACGGTTATCCTTTATATACTGCATACTTTTAGACACCTTAAATTATTTGTGTGGCAAATAGGAAAGATTTATAAATTTGGCAATAGGATAAGTATACATTTCATATCCTAAAAACTTCCTGAATACCATCATCTATGAAAATGGTATAATCTTCCTGCTTCCACCATTACCCCATTTACCCAACTTAGTTGCATATCAAATTGCACGCAAAGTTATGCGCGATTGGGAAAATTATAAGTTTTGGCTAAACGGCAATATTTATGGCCGCTTTCTGGCAGGCCAAACTGCAAGTTTGATCGATTTGGCATTGGGGCACCGTCTTTCACCCAGACATTTTGCTAGATTTTATGGCCACAAGGCATTGACTGAAGTCTGGGTTCCCGGTTCTTGGCGTGCCGCAGAGAAGGCCATCGCAAGGCCTTAATTATTGTGCAAGGACCCCGCTCAAATACCCCCAAACTTCTTCGCAACACAATATAACACAATGTACCCCCACAAATCCCGAATGAGCCTTTAAGTCCCAGTAATTTCCGTCTTAGCCTGGAAGCAGGCAACGATTATTTTTTGTTTGTTCAGCGGGAAAACAAGAAAATTCCCCCAGACGGTAAACATTTTTCAATGGACGTTTCCTCGCGCGTCCCATAATTTCTACAAATGCAGTAACAAACAGAAACAAGCACGCGAGTTTTCCTTTGCAAAGAACAAATCACTCATTTCCACAGAACTGTTCTTTCATTTTACGACTCTTTTGCTTTGGTTTGCCCTGAATTTTCACCCCCACAATTTTTTGGCAAATTTGCGTTTTAGGATTGCGAGAACTTAAGACGCCATTTCATTCCAGCTGATATGTAAATACTTATGTGAACTGAGTAGGTTGTTGTGGCCAACACGGCGCATACGTAATTTTCTTTTGGGCAAAACCACAAACAAAAGTGGTTTGTGCTGGGAAAAGCCCTCAAATGGAAGATTAAATAAATGTTTTTTCTAAGAAGTGGTGTTTAATGTGTATGTTGAGTGAATAACTTTCATACTGACTTCTGTGGAAACTGAATGAAACTAGAATTGGGATAAGCTTAAGATTTGAATTTACTTAGTTAAAGTGTTTTTAATAAAATGCTAAATAAATATGTGTAACAAGCTTTGTTGTTAAATAAGGATTTCCTTTAAAATACTTCATATAAATTCTGTAAAAAGTGTTTATAAAGGAAGTTCTTAAATGTTCACTTAAAGATTAGGTATGAATAAGTGTAAATGACAGTTTGGTCTTTCCAGTAAAACAGCTACTTAGAAAGGGTTTTGGGCTAAAATTAATTTATGGATCTATTCTGTACTATTGCTTGTTTGTAGTGCTTGCTTATAATATTTGTAAAGTATACCCCAGACCAATATTTTTTTTATTTTATTTTTTTTCCAGATCTACGCACAGCATTCGATCTACTAGACAGAAATCGCGACGGTCGCGTCACCGCCAACGAGCTGCAGTTTATGCTGAAGAACCTGGGCATAAACGTGAGTGACGAACTCATACACGATCTCATACGTGAGGCGAGCCACTCAGGTAAGTGCCACTCGAAGGACCTCTTCATGTGGCCGGGCCTTCCCCATCCACCTGGCCAACAACCTGTGGACACAAAGTGCAACAGTTTGTCCCCGTGAAAGTGTTTGTTTGTCTGCCCTTTAATAATTCACGACGCTCGGTGGCATTTGAAAGGCCGTCGGGAAACGTTAATTAAACCCACCGAGGCATGTCGATTGGTTCTACCAGCATTTAATCAAGTTTAGACCTACTCAGACACAAAAACAGGGGTTAAAAGGTTTTTATATTTTTTATTTCCCAAAGGTAAACAAAATGTCACAAATATGTTGTTTTGTGTTTGAAAGAAAGACTAAAGTAAACAGAAATTCAAGAAATATAAGTCCCATTAATATAGGTAAATAAATCTAAGTAAATTTCAATTACCTGCCATATATATTACATTTTGTAAATATTATTGATGAAATGATTTAACTTTTAATTTCAACTGAGAGTCACTGACATTTTCAAAGTAGGCAGGCTTCTCATTAAACTCTCATTTTGTGATGTTGCATTCTTTTAAATGGAATTTAATTTAAATATTCACTAGAATTTGTACTTTATGGATCATTTGAAACAAGGAGTTATGTTTTTTATATTAAAATTTCATTCCATAACGATGCAGTTTCGCAATTTATTGCCAAGGGAATTTGATTCAGGACGAGTATTATGGTAGCTAAGAAATCCGCTTTAAGCCACTTTCCCACTTTTCTGCTGTCTCTAGGCGGTGGAAGTTTTTCTCATTTAATTTACTCGTTAGGAAATGCAATTTTTATTATATAAATTCCCCTGCCAAGACGGAGAGCTGCAAAGCACTTCCTTCCCTTCCGATAAGGATGTATATATAAGTTAAACGAGGGGTGGACAATATTCTTGCGATGCAGCAAATTTATGTTATTTTTCATTCCCACTCATCGTTTTGCCCAGTTGCGCATATTTAAATTAAATTAGGTCAACCTGGCGGAAAATTGAATTTCCTGCACTAAAATGCAATTGTTGTTGTGGTCAAAACGTGTCAACATTAATAATGGTCTTATCGTTAATAGACAGAATTATAAGTCTTATGAACAGCAGCTTAACTCAATTGATGTGCAATGATGTCAATAAGTTTAAATTTAATATGAAATTGCATTGTCAATTTTATTGAATGTTTATAATTTTGAATAATGAAATTTTTTTAAAAAACTTACCCAAATTGACGTTGTAATTTATCAAGTGTTGGCATAAATTAAAGATAGTGCTTGCTGCTGAAAGCCTATTTGCGTCACTTATGTTTGTTCAACACTGTTAATTGAGTTTCGGTTAATCACGTCACAGGTAATTTAAATATTTATCCATTGCATTAGGAGCTCTTATCAATGGTCTGCAGTTTGCACTGGTTATGCTGTAAATTTAAACTCGGTCACGTTCAGGACGAAATGGCTGGGGGGTTTTCGCAGGATTGGTTTGCGGGCAAGTGACATTTATCATATAAAAGCAGGCAACTGTTGCTGACAGCCCTCCAGACAGGCGAGAAAGAGGAGTCCTGGGGCGAATGGGGGGCAAATTTTGATGCCTGCCACCAGCAGGCGAATGTTGCACATACCCTTTGCCCCTTGCCCCTTGTCACTTTCCACTTGCCACATGTGTGTTGGCCTCTGGGAGACCTGTAAGTTGACAGCGAACAATACTCGGAACACAGGCAGCGACATGTGCCAGACAGACAAAATAAAAGGCTGCTGGTTCAATGGAAATTACAGCCAAATCCGATCTAAAATTAAGGGATTTTCAAAAAAGCACTGAAATGTTTTTGTATAGGGTGAAAAACCGAAATCACATATAAAGGTGCCTAAAAGTAGGCAGTGAAATAAAGTTAACACATATTGTTGCATACTTTTAAGAGCCTTCATAGGTTTTCTTTATATGCTGCTTTTGGGCTTTCAATTAACTATAATATTAGTTTGAATATTTTTAAGATTTCTTATGTGATAGATTTTTTGTAAGTTATGTTTATAGCTCAAAAGATTGTTATTTTATCAGTTTCTACCAGTGTCTTGAACTTTTATAGCTCTTTGTTTTAATAGTTCAAAAGTGTAAACCACAAATAATCTCCAATATCCTCTTGCCAAATAGAAAACTTTGTGATTTAAAATGCATATTTGGAAGGTCCTTGAACCCCATCAAAATCAAGCAAATCAACATAAAAGGGCAGCAACTTTGCCCACAAATGACCACAAAAGACCAGAGACAAAGACACACTTGCTCTGTTTTTTTGTTGCTTTTGATATTCACTTGGCCAGCATTTCGATTAAGGCCCAGCCAAGCTACATAGCTGAATGTGGCTTAAAGCGTGCACTTTATGGCTTCATTAACATTCCAGGGGTTTCAATGACACTCCCCAGAGAGGGCCTAAAAAAAGCCGGGGTGGCAAGACGCTGATTTAGCCATTCTGACATTGCTAAGTGACCACCTGGCCGAGCTTTTCTTGGCCTTATTTATGCCTTGAATGGAGCACGCAAGCAACAGTTTTTTTCCTCTTGATACTTTCCCATTTTTCGCTACCTACTTTCTGGGGTCAATTGCCGCTTAAGTCCAGAAAATTGACAATTTATTCTGGCTGCCATTTAAAAATTTATTACTTCTGTGAGCGCTAAGCGCCATTTAAAAATAATTGTAGCATGCTTTTAGGCAGCGAAATTAATTGATATTTGGTGTGGGGCTGGAGGTTGTTTTGCCCGCTTTTAGGCGCAAAATCCACATAAACGCCAGCTGTGAGCCATTAAATTTCCTATTAGGCAAGTTGTTAAGTGTCAAAGCCAGGCCCGCAGGGAATATCTCTATGTGTGTGCGCGTATCTTTGCCATGTAAAATTAGTTTGTCGTAGCCAAAACCACAACCGCTGGGCTTCACATTAGCCACAACTGTCGTGGCAATTGCACAACCAGCCACACACGTCCAACCATTAGAAAATCAACCTAACCCACTAAACCAAAGTGACCTTGGTGCATTTGCCTCTAATCGAATTTCAGTGAAGACAGCCCCGAAATTTACATAACCAAGGGCCAAAAGAAGCCGGGAGCCAAAATTAAATACAGCTTAAAATGCCAACAGCGGGAAATTCCTTGAAAATTGCACACCAAGTGGAATGAAAATGGCTGGCGACGAAACAGAAATCCCCCAAAAATGCCGGAGACTAAGTTCAAAGTTCAGCTGAAACCCTGAAAACGCTGCCTTGAACTGCATTCCTTGGCCGAAAATTGGAAAAGGAATCTTCCCCATTACCAACAGACATTGCACATACGCAACGTTGCCTTTTTGTAGGTATTTAATTAATGGCCAAACTGCAAGGTAATTTATTGGCCATCAAAGGCAGTCGTTCATGGGGTTGCCTGGGCGAGTATTAGTCAGCATTTATTGCCTGTTTTACAAGACCAAATGTGGGTAAATGTCGCTCGAGAGCAACAATCAAACAAGAGTGCTGGCAAATCCCCCACAAATACAGTGCCAAGCCCCCGGGCGAACTTCCGTTTCCGTTTGCTGTGGCATGAGGTCACCTGCTATAGTATACATTCTATATAGTACCCACAACCAGCAGCTACATTTGCCAATAATTGATTACACTTTGGCATGAAGTTGTTGCCACACACCTCAACGATTCTCCTCGGAATCCCCGGTAATGCCCCAAAACGACTGCACTGGCAAACCGCAGTGGCCATTTGTTATGCCGGTTGTCATTGGATGTCTCTCATCGAGGGCAGCCTATGAACCCCAAAGGATCTGTGATTGAAATAGAGTCATCTAAGAAGGTGGCAGGTACAGTGTAGGAGGAAATAGTAGCATTGGAACTTGGAAGTATTTCGCAAAGTTCTACAGATAAACAGATTATACTCATATCTTAGATATAACTGGGGACTTTAAACAATAGTGTGTACTATATAGGAAGAGAAAAACCACCATAGTTATAGAGCTGTCACTTATAAAGGTGTCTAAAAGTATGCAGTAAAAAACAACTGTCTGTCGAATTCAAAATATAGAGTTGCATACATTTAGGTCCCTTTATATATCATTTATAAATGGCAATATAAATCCTAAGTCCTTTATCCTTATAAATAAATTTATTCCAATTTTTTTTTGCTAGTTCTTTCACTTACTTTCCTTATATTTAATTAGCAAATATGAAAACTGCATTACAAGTAAGGAGAACTAACTAAATCCCCGTTAACTTGACTTGTTTACTTTCAATTTAGCTGGTTGATTGTGGAACTTAAGGATTTGTAATTTCGATTGCATCTCTACATTTCTTCAGTTATATTGAAAAACTTTCGAGCCATCGATCAATGCCAAGAAATGCTCCCAACTGCAGGTCAAGCTTGAAAATTCGTTGCTCTGCTTAACGAGCCAAGTGAGCACAGCCATATGTATGTATGTGGCAGGAGCTCCTCCACTTCCACAGGACACGTTGTATGCAGGACATTACCGAAATGTGCGACAAGCAGTCGCAGCCAGAAACGCCCTCGCCTTCGTCCTTATGGCTCAAAAAAAAAGAAGGAAAAAAGGACGACAAACGATGACAATGGCGGCAACGTCAACATCAACATACATATAACCAAGCCATTTTCATTATCCTTGGACTTGTCCTTTTCGCAGGCTGACACAGACATTGGTGCAGATAGAGGCAGAGATAGAGATAATGTGCATTTGGTTTTCGCATTTGAAAAAGAAGGCAGCTGAAAGGAAGGCCTCTCAAGAAAGGGGGCCTGGCTCTTGAGATGGGGAAGACATCTTACAGAACCTGCAGTCCTAAAAAGGGAAAACAATAAGACTTGTCATAGATACCCTTCATTCTGGGGTAAAGGTTAATATATTAAGGTTTTTAAAAAACTTGTGAAAGTGTCTAAAAGTGTGCAACAAATTTTGACTCATATGTTTTTTCACTGCATACTTTTAGGCGCGTTTAAAAGTGATTCGTTTCGAAATTAGCCTGTTCATAAACCTTTTTGGGACTTACTATAAATTGGCTTATTATTTCCGAATACCCTATAACCTAATCCCATTTTAGGGAAAGGGAACTCCAAGTAGGATGAGTGCCGCTAAGCGCAAATGAAAATATTTTCCAAGCAGCACCGACTCACAAATGTCACACAGATGTCAGAGCGACAAGAAAAGTAGGAAAAGCTGCGGCAGGAAAATGGCAAATAGAGGAAGATGGTTCGGGTCGTGGAGGATGACAATAATGGGTCATGTATGACCATGTTGGGTGGCAACATATGAGCAAATACCCAAAGCAATCATCGTGATATGTTGATATGTTGACGATGGAGCAATATTTGTGTTCGGAACTTTGTTTTGTTGGCTGTTTTCTGGCCTCGGGCCAAGGAACTCCTTGGGTGCAATTGTCTAATTGATGTGGATTCGGTTGTTTGACCCTTAATGCATTTTTTATGCCAGCAAACGACTAACAAAATGTTACTTAGGGGCAAAGTGGAAAGGGGCTCTTTCGGTAATTACCAGCAAATCTTTTTGTGCCCTTTTAAGTAGAAATCTTTATCTTTAACTAAGCAATAATGCTTAGGTTGTATCTGCAATAAATTGGAAGTCTTGAAAATATTATGAAATGTACTGAAGGTCTTTCTAATAATTCCTAAGAATTTACAGAACTATTTTTTTTCATACAGTATTTTAATTAAATAACTTTTTCCAGGATCCTTTTAAAATACCAAATTTATTTAAATTGCGAAATTATTCCCACAATGACCATTTGATTTAATTAAATTATTTATATCTTCCAAGTCTATTTCTTTGCTTTCAACAGACAAATAAATTAGCAATTCTAAATATAATTGCGGTTTGGTCAAACAAATTGCAATTAGAGATGAAAAAGCAATTGATATAGAAACCCTCTTAATTTTTTTATATCCCTTGGCTTTCGCTGCCAAAATTTATGCGAGCGAAGATTATCACAGATTTCGACTTCATTTTCATTGCCATTCACACAGTGAGAGTTCCTTTCCACTTGTTTTTCTTTTCATATTTTATTTGGTAATATTTTTTTTTGGGTTTCTATGAAGGTCAAGGACGAAGAGCAGAGCGCAAAAGGTTTTCCGGACGCCGTATCTCTTGCGTTTAATTATAAAAGTTTCAGCGGCAGAGGAAAGTTGAGCCGTTCCCACTGAGAGCGTTCACTTGCAGCTTTTGGCTTAGGGTTTTCCTTTGGCTTTGGTTTTGATTTTTCGTTTTCCTATTTTGTTTTTTTTTTTTTTGGATTGTTAATGGTCCCGGAGATCTCAGCCGGAAATGCCTCTGACAATGCCACCACCTGGGCGCATTAGGATTGGCGCAGGAGGAAACCTTCCGAGGATGTCCTGCCAACAAAGGATGTCCTCGTTGCCAAGGATTGAGGCGTGTAAACATTTCCCAACAATGAAAATGCATTTTTTCTGTGCTCAGAAAAGTGTTTGTGAAAAATGTTTCCAGCAGCTCTTACACGGAAAATATTTAAGTTTAGCGGAGGTACCAAGGAAATTTAAAATGAATGATATACCCCATGAAAGGCTAATTAAGTAAATGTTTGAGTTGGAATTGTTATGTTTATCTATCGCTCCCCTAGTAACATTTTCAATTTTTTATTTTTCTAAGAAAGAATTGCAATATTACTACATTTTTTTCGATTACATTATGAGTTTTTAATAAAGACCTTTATTCTAGGTTTTTTTCCCAGCTTAGGGATATACTTCTTTATTAAGCTGACTAAATTTGTTCTCAGTGCATTCAATTATTGCACCCAGAAAATGTATTCTCCGGCCGGAAAACGCTACTGTTGCACTGGGTTACTGTCTAGATTTTCCAGAACTTTCCTTGGACCCCGTATCTAAGCCAGACTCTCTTATCCTCCAATCCACAGGCAATGGCTTAATCAACGAGGCCGAGTTCCTGCAGTGGGTGGGCAGGATCCAGGCGCTGCGGGACGACCAGCAGTCACATGAGGACAGCAAGGACAGCAAGCCGGTGGACGAGGCCGATGATGTCACCGAGGACTTGATAGCCGCATTTAGGTATACACAGTGTTTATGGTGTTTAGCATATCTCCTGTTCCTACAAGAACATCCCCCCTCTCTCCATCCGCAGAGTATTCGATCGGGATGGTAATGGGTTTATAACGCGCGACGAGCTGCAGACCGCCATGGAGATGATTGGGGAGCCCTTGAACGAGCAGCAGCTGGAGCAGCTGCTGGTCATCGCGGACTTGGATCAGGATGGGCGCATCAATTACGAGGGTGAGTGCAGTTGCAGAAAAAGGACAAAGGACACTGCTGACGCAGGCGTTCGCTTGGAAGGACATGTGTGCACGGGCAGAAATAAGCAATCAAAATGGGTTGCAATTTGGGACTTTACATTTTTATATCTGTTCTCAAGTTATTCAAATCCTTTTTTTAATCCAAGATTATTATAGATAAGAACAAATCGTTTGAGTACTCAAGATAGAAAGCAATCTACACAAAAATAATGATACATGTGCTGGACAAACTTCTTAAGAAGGTGTCAAAAATTAAGCTACGAAAAATATGACAATACCTTAGGCATTTATCCTTAGGAGCTCATTACTAAAACTACAAATATAGCTGCATACTTTTCGGCAAAACCATAGGCAGTTCTGTGAATCCTCGCAGATCATACATTTTCATTGCCTGCTGTAAGCCGATATATCCTTTGAGAATATAAAAACATATCTGAATTTTATAATATTTTTTTTTAGTGTGCAGGTATACTTACTTCATGATTTGAAAGTGCCCTAATAGGAATTCGATTTTATTTTACAAAAGACTGGGGGTTTTCTTTGGAATTGTAAGGCATTCAAAGTCCCCAGCCCTGTTGCTTCTGTTTCTGCTGCAGCCACGCCAGTCTGAGCCTCAATCAAGGAATGGCATAAAATATGGCAAACTCATGTCAATATTTGTCCTACGCACCGAAAACCGTACGCCCATAAATCAGCTAGACAAATACGGCGACAACAAAGTTTATTAACCTCAGGGAACAGCAACAGGAGTTCGTCTAATAGGGTCGAGGGTTTATTTGTTTGTTTACTCGTAAAGTTTTTATACCCGCTACTTGCAACATTGCTGGGTTTATTGGGTTTTCGTAGATTGAGTTCTTAAAACCTACTATTTCATGCGGCATTTGGGCAACTCTGCATAAAACCTATTAATCTTGAAATAAAACAGTTTGGATCAAACTTTGTTAGGACCTAAAACATCTTACTGAAAGTAGAGCAATTAAAGCTACATTTTCGTAGGAACTTCAATAAAAAGGTATTTTCACATAGCTAAAGTTGTTTAGTATTTTTTAAATGTCACTGCCCCTAAAAGGTATCTCGTAGTCGTAAACGTTGCTACTGTCAAAAATGACCTGAGGTCTTTGGCTGGTCTTAAGTTTCAGCCATAAAAAGTTTTCGATAAAGCAAATAGCTGCAAAAACAAAGAAGGCAGCATGAAAGAGTCCTTAATGCAGTTGACCCACAATGAAGTGGAGCAAAAACAACAACAGCACCTCACCTGAGGATCCGCCCACTTATTATTCTGCACTAATGGCAAAAAAAAGGACAGCACAAAATTCCCTTGCGTGGCATTAAATTGGTTTAATAAACTTAAACTAATACGGGGACATGCTCGAGTGTCCTCTTTGTACTTGGTGTTTCATGTAGTTTTTTCTTTCTTTTTTTTTGCTGCAAAGGTGTGTGCTTGTGTGTGGCGAATCCCTTGTATCATTAGGTTCATATGCCATCGCCTCGCTAGTTGATACTTTGACCTTGTAACGCATTGACATGTCAGCCGACCACCCACAAAGCCCGCCCAGTTCAGCAAAGTTCGAGAGGCCCAGCCCGCAGCCCGCATTTGTTTGCTGGCATCTGCAATTTATTTACTCATTCTGTCGCTCTTGTTGTTTTTCCTGCTGCCTGTGCCTTTGCCTGTGCCTTCACCCTATTTACTTTGCACCGGCATCGACAGCGGCCAACATTGCGTATACGTTATGTGTACGTTCGGTATATTCGGTATACGCAACGTGGTCCCTTCCATTTTCTGCTGACACTGTAGGGAACCCGAGAATGGGTCGATTGGCCGGAGCAACACGTCCGCCGCCTCCGGAGAACCACATCGCATAAAAAGCGTAGTTCGTTCTTTCGGAGGCGTGATTTCCAGAGGCGACAGCTTATACAATTTGGCCATCCCCATCTGTAAAATGTTTTTGCCTCGGTGGACAAAAGTGTCAGGGAAAGTGGATCTTCTTCTGGATGTCTGTTTTATTTCATTTAATTTTATCAACAAATTGGCTTCCGTTTCGGTGTTTATTGGAGCGGGGACATTTGGAAACATCATTTGGAAGTTTTGCCCTAAAAATCAGTGAAAAATACAAAAGGAAAATTAAAAGAAGTTTAAATTATTAAATTTCATACATTACAACATTTGACAAAACGCAAGAAATAGAGTATTTAAGCTCTAAAAACTCAGTGTTTTATCTGCCATATTGCAATAAAAGATCAGAACGAGACATGTCATACTTTGTTGAGCTCGTAATTTAAATTCCTATCCATTGGTATTCAAACCTAGAAATGTATAATTTTGTCCATTTTTCGCAAAAAAACATGAAAATTAAAAAAGGCGAAAATTGGTCAAAAATTAATTTCCCTGAAAGAGATGGAAATCGTTAGCATAGGTTTGTACCTGCTCAAAACAGTCGGTCTTTTGGCTGTACGCATTGATTTAGCGAAATTACGATTGAAAAACCGCTGAAAATAAGAGTATTTTTGACTAGAATCTGAATACTGATTTTAGGCCATAAAAATCAGTGTTTTGGCCGGAATCATGCGAAAAAAGGTCACAATTAGGAATGTCATACCTCGTCGAGCTCGTAATTTAAATTCCTATCCATTGGCATTCAAACCTGGAAATGTATAATTTTGGCCATTTTTCGCAAAAAAACATAAAAATTAAAAAAAGCGAAAATTGGTCAAAAAATTAATTTCCCGGAAAAAGATGGAAATCGTTAGCTTAGGTCCGTAGCTGCTCAAAACAGTCGGTCTTTTGGCTGTACGCATTGATTTAGTGAAATTACGATTGAAAAACCGCTGAAAAGAAGTGTATTTTTGACTAGAATCTGAATACAGATTTTAGGCCATAAAAAATCACTGCTTTGGCTGGCATCATGCGAAAAAAGGTCAGAATGAGATATGTCATTCCTCGTTAAGCTCGATATTTAAATTCCAATCCATTGGCATTCTAACCTAAAAAATTTTTATTTTTGTAATTTTTTGCAAAAAAACATGATGCAACCCCCATAAAAAACAAGAAAATTGATCAAAAAATAAATTTTCCGGAAAGTGATGGGGATGGTTAGCTAATTATTTTAGTTTCTCAAAACTTTCGGTCTTTTAGCTGTACGCCTAAATTTAAGTAAACTACGATTAAAAATTCTATAAAAATTTGAATGTTGACCTAAAAATGAATTCTTATTAATTTATCAATATTTCAAAAAAATAAGTGCTAAGCTACATAACAAACAAAATGAATAATTAATGCTTTGAAACTCCTTTATATCTTAAATTTACATTACTGTTTTTCACTTTAAAATTTAAATAAATTTGTAATGCGCTTTTCAGCTGTATTAAAATTTTCTAGAGATTTCTTAGGAACCTTTTCCACTTAAGAAACCACTTTACTTTCCTTTCTTGAATTACATTTAATGGACTCTTTTCTCGTTTTAATTTCAGAATTTACGAGACTTTTGCTCTAAGCAGATTAACGCCCACAAGGAGGCATGGTTTATACCCCGTAACCCCGAAACTTTCGAGTGGATTGCAGCCCGAGTTACACCCCTTCAGCATAATTGTTAAGCTATTAAGAATATACTCAGACATGCAGAAAATAATAATGCAACAAAATGTGCAGAACGTAATTGTTTGAAAATTTTATACAAAAATAAAACTTATTTATACAAGGGTTTGAAAAAAGTGCAAGGCAGGCCACACACACACACCCATAAAGTTTTAGTTTCATCAAACACCCACATACATACGTACCCACACACACACAACATATTCATATGTAAATTAGTTTCAAAGTTTTGTCGATTGTAAAAAGTGAATTATTCATTTTCCGTATGAATTAAGTTAAATCAGCATGTGCAAAATTTAAATGGAAAACTTTAGACTAATTTTTGTAGACGATTTGCATCGCAAATGATTTAAATCACACAGAGACACACACATAACATAAACATATAAAATGCATATTCGGATAAGTCTGAGCGCGTGAGTGATATTGTGTTTAGGGTGCTGCAAAAATAATGAGCAGGCAAACGGAGAAATTACAATTAAAAATTACATTAAAAATATATCCGAATTCGGAGAAGGTCAGCAACGTGGATTCATATATTTGTATTTTATTGTAGTTATGCTGCTTTCAATGTATGCGTGTTTCAAATACCCCAAAAACAAACAAAAATTGTTTCAAATTTGTTAGAATAAGGAAATAAATGTTAACAATTTATATAAGAAAACAGAAGATTTAATTTCAGTTGGGAAGTTACTCAGTAGAGCTGTCAAATCATCTGTATTTGAAAAGAAAGATTGAAAAAAATGTAGGCTCATGATAAAATAAAAAATAAATTTTTAAAGGAAATTAACAAAAATCCAACAAATTGGGTACATTTGAAGTATTGATGTTTTCCAACTCTATTATATAGAAACAAAAAACAATTAAGGCAAACAGAAAAAATTATATTTAATGTTAAAAAAACATAAATTACCTATACCCAACAACCCGAATAGAACATTTCAGAGTTCTAAGAAAGCATAGTTTAAAATAGTATTTTTTACATTTAAAAAATTTTATTTTGTTTATTTTTCATTTTATTTTCGAAATTCAAGTCCATTGCATATTGCCGTCCCATAGATAATTCAACAAGAAATACAAAATAATGTTTTATAACAATTACAACTCATCGATTTAAGGCATTGCGGTTTCAAATAATAAGTTTTTATTCATTTCGTATGCTCTTTTTTGATAAAAGTTTAGACAAGTTGAAATACAACAGAAAACCGAATTAAGCAAAAATATATTTAACAAAAGTGCTCTTTTGAAAAATCAGTGAAACAAGAATTAAAGTATATATTTACATTTAAAACATTATATGGATAAAGTTGGAAAAAGGAAATAATAATCAGGTCAAAGGTACAAAAATAGCAAAATGGGTTATAACAAGGAAGGCAAACCAGGAAACCAGAACTTTTGTATGGTATTTACAACAGGACTGCAAAGGCAAAGCAAATTTAAACCTAATCAAAAATCAGAAACCTAATCAAACTTAACTTTAGCCCAAAATATTGAAAAATACCCGATAAATGTACTTAAATTGAAGTAGTTTTTTATGACCTCTAAATGTGCTTAACAACTATATGCAGGACTATATACCTACCCAACAATATACTACTTATATACACAATTACATTAAACACAACAACTAAGACATTATCTGTATGCGAACCTAAAAAGTGGTAGATATTTGGTTTAGGTATAAATGATTTAATAATTTATAATTGCGATTGCGAGACAGAAAACGAGATGTGACATAATAAATAACGGTACACCAACGCTCAATAAATGTTTTATTACTACTAGTAGGCTATTTCAGTTGTTGACTTGTGTCAGTTGGCAATCCAGAAATCATAGATTGTAAAATTGTGCTGTTCGATTAGACGACATTTCTAAATTTCTGGCTCCGCAAAATATTGTGTATATTTTTATTTTTAAACTCTTAACGCGGTTGAATAACGACAATGAGTGAACCTGAGGGCAAGGTTAGTATACTCCTTTGTGAAAACAGCTTCTTTTGGTCATTATCATCGTGTTTCTTCGAAATACCGAAAATTTGTACTTAAACGCTGCTCAGAAATAGTATACGGTGTTAAAAATGGAAGAACAACTGAAAGAAATACAATAACTAAAGAATGTTGCTGAAAATTACTTTAAGGCAAAGTTATTTTCATAGATTTTTATTTATATTGTGCTAATAAGTAAAATGCAAATAATCAAATTCGAAAAACGTTATAGTTCTTTAAAATTTAAAATCACCAAAAACTATCGATAGTTACCACGCTTAAAGCGATTATTTCAGCATGACCGTTGGACTGTTTTTGGTATATTTAAATATTTGGTATTAAAAGTAACTTCATTCCGCGGTCACACTGCTCACGAGGAATAAAATCAATTTTTACTGAAATTTTAAGCGACCGCGAACGAAAATTCCGCCAAAGCTCAATTAAATGCCAGTGCGAACTGCATTTTGCGAGCTATTCCGGTGACAAGATATTTGGGTGTTCCTTCAAAGGGTTGCTATAGAGCAGAAACCCTCAATTTCCGACCGCGTGCGTTGACTTAAAGCCGCAAAGTGGATACCGAAACAGTGAAAATCGAGGATTTGATGGACTCTGATCCTGAAATCGAGTTCATTGAAAAGGACAGCGGGATGTCGTCGTTGGGCGGCAGCAAGGATGAGACGCCCGAGCGGCGGGCAGTGGCCGCCGTAAGTAAAAACGTGGGGCCTCTCGTAGCCCCCTTGGAAACCCAGTTCCCCCGACTGCCCCCAAAGTTCTTATCGTGCTCACGTAATTGTCGGTCAATCGTAGCAGCTGTCCCATAAAACCGACCTTCCAATACCCTATACTGATCATCTTATTTTCCCATCTTTTACAGACTTCAAATGAGCCACAAGGCGAGAACTACGATGATGTAAGTGGACCCTGTTTGTAAACACAACACGCAATCTAACCTCAAACTTAAGGAGACAACCGCTTTAAAAGGACCTTTTAAGGGTTTTAAAATGTAGAAATAGTCTTAGGGGTCTAAAAATAGAGGATAGTTTTATTTAGCTTCAAACTTAATTTAGATATTTTATTTTTGGTTTAGAAATGTATCAGCTGTTGGCCAAAACGTGCACTCGATAAAGGTCATTGTCATCATAGACTTTTCCCTATTTTAAGGTTTATACATTTAAATTACATTTATTATTCTTATTTCAAATGTTAAACATTTTTTCGCTTTAGTAGATTGTTTATTTAATCTCCGTTTATGCTCAGAAGTAAATTTGAACTTTCCATTATCCAAAATGTGTATCTGTTAAAGCCAATTGATACAAATCGTAAGGAAATTCTTTTTATGCACTAAAGAAAATTAATTTTGTATATTTGAGGAATAGATGAATTCTTGTATTAATAACATTGTAATTAGGGTTTGCTAAAATTGATTCATGGGGACATCAGCTTACCAAAATTAAAAATAGTTTAAATAGTTAAGTCTTATCAAGTTTATTAATATTTTCAAATCCGTTCCAAATTTAGGAACCCGATGAGACGGCGGCTGAGCGCTTCTGGGGCCTGACAGAAATGTTCCCGGAGCCACTGAGGAACGCGGTCGGTGCCGTGAGCAGCGCCACGGTGAAGAGCGTCAAGGGATTCTACACGTTCTCGTGCAACGCCAGCTGGATTTTCTTCACCAGCTCGGTCATCCTGTTCGCCCCGGTCATTTTCGAGACGGAGCGCGCCCAGATGGAGGAGCTGCAGAAGTCGCAGCAGAAGCAGGTGCTTCTTGGACCAGGCAGCGCGATGGGCCCTGGAGGATCCTCGCCCAGCTTACCCTTGATTCGTTAACCGAGAGAGACCCTACCACATACGCATATTAGCTCTACGATAACCGGCAGCGGAAATCCGGAAATTGCCACACGTTAGCTTAAGTTTGTCGATACCAATCAATCCCAGTCGAAATCGAGAGGTCGAGGACGTCCACGAATGGCCGAAGCAATAGCATCAGCGATTCCCTAACAAGCTGTCACCCATTAAATGCCACTCCATAGCCCACAGCATTTACACATCCACACTCTCGGAACTCCCGGCACCAAAACAGACGTCCTCTTCGATCGAAACGAGCAGTTGCAAAACTTCAGATAGGTGTTAGCATTGTAGTTGGCGTACAGTGTATAAACCAGCTACCACTACGGTTTAAACCAATTAATAAAACTACGTTTATTAATAGTTAACAGCAACTCGCTTTATGATTTTACAATGTTTTCAGTTCTGATAAAAAAGTGACTTCCAATAGGTTAATAATTTTAAAGGCAATACTTAGTAAGAATACGTTTATTCAGAGTTTAACAACAGACTGAATCTAAGGACTCCCCAGATATTCCCTTGGGATCGGATGATCCGTAAAGTAACGCCGAAATTCCCCAGCGTACTTGTTTCTCAAATTCCTTTCCCCAAATTCGTTGAATCGCTGTGCCAGAAAAACATACACATCCAAGACTTTGGCATGGGCAGAGAGTTTCTTGAATGATTGAGCTGAGCGCTCCAGGATATCCAGAGATTTAACGAGTTGCGCCTTCCGTTCCTCGACATTATTTTGATTGATCGCCAGCAGGCAGCGAACAAACACGAAATCCGTTTTGGCTCGTTCATAGAGGCCACCATTGATGTGAATGTCGTGCATGCAGCGCTTGATGGCCTGGTATGCCTTCTGTGGCATTCCGAGGAGCAGCAGTTGCTGGGCCAAGAGGAGGTCCACCAGGGCCAGTTCGTAATCCATCTGTGATTCGGCCATATCCTCGGCCACACGAAGCAGGAGCATTGTAGTTTCACTTGAAAAACGGCCATCAGCCATTCCACAATAGCCTAGAAGAACTTGAACCCTCATCCTCAGGAGGAAAGGTAAATTATCCTGGCCAGCGAGCTTGTCCAAGAGCCGCCTCGCATTAAAGAACTCCCGTTTGGCCACGTAAATAGAAGCGCGTTGCATTATGGCATCAGAAGGATCTAGCAAATAAAGCTGATCGCAGGCCTTCAATGCATCATGCCAACGGCACTGGTAGATTCCTGCCTGGATGACCACATGGCACTGACTGATCATCCACCCCTCAGCGCCGGGCAATCGCGGGAAACGCTCCTTAGCACGATGTAGGAGTACTTTGGATAGCTGGGGTTCTCCCTGCAACTGAAGCCATAGGGCGTAGCTTGCCAAAGCGCTCCCCAATCCCGCGGAAGCATTCCCAAACCGATCTCTGGAAGCCAACAATACTTGAGAGTACAAAGCGGCTAACTCGTGCTTTCCATAAGCAGACCATACTGCACTTCTTAAAGCCAGAGCCTCTGATGCGTGATCCGCGAAGTTGTTTCGATTTGTGAGATTATCGCTGTGCTGGAGGAGATCAAAGAGTCGCAAAGGTTGATAGCCAGCCACTGTTCCCAGTTTAACGGCGAAGTGGAGCGCTAACGTGTAGTTCTGAAGCAGAGAACCATCAACTTCGTTGGCCTCTTGCACGCTCTTTTGAACAGCGGATAAGGGGAGCTCATCCCTGAGCAAACAGTACCAAGTATTGGCCAGATTGAGACTCCTTTTGTCGCCGTGCTCCTGGGCCAGCATAATGCTTTCCCTGAGCGCCGCTAAAGCTTCATCCCGATGACCAAAAGTGGCATGTAGCACGGCCAGATTGACGCAGAAGTACTGGTAGCCCTTCTCCTGGCTCATCAGCCTCACTGGACTCCTGTCCAGAGCTCTGTGGAGCGCAGAGAGTGCGTTATAGTAATCCCTAACTCTTAATTGGTTCATGTAGCCCAGGAAATAGGGAGTAGTTATAAGTGGCAGATCGTGTATGATCTCCTGCACCTTCTTTTGGAGCTCCAAGGGCGGCAAAGCCTTGCGTTCGTTGCTCTCCAGGAGTTCCGACTGCTTGTTGATGAAGAACTTAGCCTGCTTGGGAGCCCACCTGCTTAGAGGATTGCGTTCTTGAGCAACACGAGCTATTGCCTCCTCCTTTTTCTTGGTTTCAGGATCTGCAGTCTTTTCTGTTATCTGATTTGGTGGAGGAGTCTCCTCCCTGTGGAGGATTCCTCCAGCAACGGCCATTCTAGAGCCTGAGGCAGCAGCTCGAACTCCTCGTTCGTAGTAGGAGCAGATGTTCTTGTACATATCCATCATTTCAGGGAAACTGAGCCGCTCCAGGACCACGCCGACTCGCCGGACATAAAGGCCCACCATGCTGAATTGGCTAATGCCATAGTTTTCGTTTAGGATCTCGTCGATGTTCTGGATCTCGGTGAAGTCAAACAGGGACTCAATGCTGCCCGCACAGAACTCTGACATGGCTTTCTCAAAGGATTCCAACATCAGGGTGTCCAGTTTATATTTCCCTGTCGTCAGCAAACTATGGAGCTCATTGTAGCTCTTATCCTCCTCCTGGACGAGCTTAAAAACCAACATATAGAACATCCGACGTCGCTGGGTGCGCATGGATATCCCAGTGTCCAAGCAGGACTTTTTATTCTTTGAATAAATAGAAAAATCTGGGTAAGAAAAGGATTTTCAAAGGGTACAAACTAGGAACACGTACAATCACATATTGTTTTAGCAGTATCAGCACGGTTATTTTGTGCGCCGTGGGAGTTTCAATGCGGGGAGGTTCGATCTTGGAGGAGGGGTCCAAGGTGTCCAGCTCCTCGAACAGATTCATGATTATTTTCAGTGTTTAAATTCCAATTTTCGATTTGCCGGCAAATTGTAAACAATTAAATAAACAGCCGCAGCTAACTTAGCTTTGTCATAGTTGTCATCTTAGCAGAGTTCTGCACTGTGGCAACTCTAGAAGGCGCGCATTTTAAATAGAAGTTTATGATTTTAGAAAAAATAAAGCAATAATAAGTTACGAATAACTTTCGAAGTACACAATAAGCTCAGTGGAGCCGTGGCTTGATCAACGTTTAAACTTTGTTTATTAAATCTGACAAAGCTTTATATTATATAAGAAAAATTTTTAAGCTTAGCGTATAAGCGCTAGAAAATGTTAAAAGAACTAAAAAATCTTATTCCAAACCCAACACAGAGTTGCTTCACATACTTTTCGAAATCGAACACCTGGCGCACCTTCCAAAGACCCTAATTAAACTATTACTGATTACCCACGCTTCATCGACCTGCCCATGCGATCAAAGTCCAAAAAGCGACGAAAAATGAACACGTTAAACATACGCTTCTCCAATTTGTATTTGCTTTAAATCAACGAAAGCACAAAGTTCACTAGACAACTACCCTGTTAAACGCTAACCAAGATGTATAAATGTGTAATGTGGAATATGTAATACAGCGAATGCGTCATGGGGACATCAATATCCATCCTACAGGACGAACGGGAAGATGGAGCGGCGCTGGCGAGGGTAGTCCTTGAACTCCTTCCTGTAGTTGCGGTGCTTGGCCAGAGCCCAGACGGTCATCTGGAAGGCACCAGCAAAGGCAAACAAATAAGCAGCCAGGCAAGAGGTTAGCACGGAGAAGGAAACCCAAGCACCGATCTCGTAGGTGTAGTTGGGGCACGAAACCAAGCTGGAGTTCGGGGAAATGCAAATTAATATACTTGAGCCAATGAGGGTTTTACTATTTACTTACTTGAACAGCTTGGTCAGGGGATTTGCATCGGGAACGGGAATCTTGCGTACTTTGGTGCCTGGCGGACGCAGGTTGCGCAGGGCAATGTGCACCGAAAAGTTTCCCAATTCACAGAGCTGAAAGTCGAAAATGTGCGGTTAGTTTCTGGGTCAATAAATTGGATAGCTTAGATCCGTATGAAATTTTGATTTATTCCAGCTAATTTTATAACTAAATAATAGATAACATATTGACCTACCGTAAGCAAGAGCTAATAGTTGTTTAACCAATTAGTATTGTGACAAAGCTTGTAATCTATCTTATAAGACCAAAGATGCTGATAACAATCCAATAAGTTGCAAAGAATGCATAAAAATCAGTAAATTCTGCTACAATTGGCTTTCCAATGAGAAAACTATTTTAACCATTTAAGACGGGAAAATAATCCTAACATGAATTAAGTCTGCAGAAACTGGTGAAAATGGTAATCAAAACATTTCCAAATTGGTTTCGTTTGGTTAAAAAAAAACTGACCAAAGGGAACTTGCCAAATAAGAGACAGCTCTATCAAACAAAAGGTTTCGATATGCAAAAACCGGTACATTATGGAAACATGTAACCCAAATCCATAAACCATAGCCCCGAATACGTACGGCAAAGGCGCCCAGAGCAGCCCAGACGGTGCACATGCACGGCGAGGTGAACTGCGGATGGTTCACGTGGTAGGAGACGTAGGCTGTGAATCCCCAGTAGTAGGTGCAGTTCTTGAAGAGGTTCCGCAGCGGCATGGTGGCATGCGAGAAGCGATGGACGAAGATGGTCTCCAGCAGACGCTTCACATAGTGGACCGTGTAGCAGCCGGCGGCAATGCTGCAGAGTACGAGAAAAGAAAGCGGGTTACTGGGTGAACCACCATCCAAAGTTCATGGATAATTATGCAGAGCCGTTGCGTTTTAGTTTGCATAAGCGACGAGGTCGATTGGGTCGAAAATCGAAAGATTTCAGCGACCACTTTCTATTACTTACTGGGTGGTTAGGGAAATCGGCAGAGTGGCCGCTTTGCCGTACACCAATTCCGGTCGGAAATAGAAGATCAAGTATACGATAAGGGGGCCGGCGTATTCCGCCAGAAAGACGGTCTTCCAGCCAATCTGGGGACCTAGATCCTTCACATAGACCTTGTCGCCGGAGCGCAGAGACAGGGACTCCAGGGTGTCCGTGTCCTTCAGACTCTTGCCCTTCAGCTCCAGGCGCAGCGACTGGCGGTTGGCATCCGGGGTCTGCTTCAGACTCTTGTGGATCAGGGCGCGAAGATCCCCGATGGGCGTGGCGCCGGAGGGCACCTTCACCTTGCCGTAGGGCTTGCTGTTCTTCGCGTTGACAATCTCGAGCTCCATTTTGCGTCCGGTTTGCAGCTCTGTCTAAAATCGAAAATCGCCGATTCCGATTGGAGGTGGGCCGTAGTATGACCGTAGCGGGAGGTGCGAAAAATTACCAACGATATGGTCACCCAACTGGGTTGTGCGATATTTTTAAATATATTTTTTTGTTTTTTATTTTAATCCCTTTTAGGAGGTTTAACTGTATTGTTGTTCAAGTTTAAAATATATATTTATTTTAAAACTGGCTGGACAAGATTTAGCGATGATATATACACTGTTTTTTGTGAGACAGTCAAAGTACTTTTAAATATGCAGATGAATATATCAGCAATGTAAACTCGATGTGACTCCAAATATTACTTGTTGTCCAAATACACTTGATATTTCATAAATATTTTCGTGGTAAGAAATAAAATTTCTAAAACGCAATTTTTGAAAACTCTATTTGAACTCTAGTCGATGCTTATAAGTTAAAGATGCTATAGATCACCTAACAAGTTATAGAATTCAAAATGTATACAAAGCAGTCGTTGCCACAACACTCACTACATCACACTTTTGAAACAACTCCACCTTCCATCCAAAATTACTTTAAAATTTGCCAGTCAAGTTGTGAGTTTCAAAATTATAGCCGGTAGAGAAGACAGTGCCATAAAAAAACATAGTAGCAAAGGTCTTAAAACACCTATATTAAACAAACGTTGGACTTTCGCCTTTGGTAAGTTCAAAGGAGGCCTTGAATTCGATGTCACAGTAAAAGTAGGTTAGATCGACAAAGAATTTCATTCAGCCGGTCAAGTCAGTGCGATATCAAGGTCTCGTTTTGAAATTGTCTTGAAAATATTTTATTATTTTGTATTGTGGTGAGTTAACAACAAAAAAGTAACAAAAGTGGGTTTGTCAAAAACACAAAGAAGTTAACAACAATCCAGCCAATATTTTTGTATATCAAATGCTTACAAAGTTTCGACCTCCGATCGATTTCAGTGTATTCGTGTCAATTATAAATTGTTGTGTATTTTTTAGTACATTTTCCGCAGACCGAGGGTATATAAGCCACGTCCGCGAACGGTCCTATTTAAAATCATCTGACAATTGCAGCAGCAAGTACAAGCAAAAAATAAACGCATTCAACCAGAAAGAATATATTATTTAATTAGTTGGTGACTAAAGTAAAATAAAAAGAACATTCTCGAAAGTTACAAGAAAACGTAAGTTTAAAATCGCTAATATCTGTTATTACTCACGGTTAAAAGGAAGTTAACCAATTGAGCAAAACTGCAGTTCAAGGCCTTTGTTCGGCCATTTTGTTTTTTCTTATTCAACCCTCTGCGTAATGAGAAAATTGAAAATTGGCAGCTACGCATTACTTTTTTCCCCAATATATTGGCAGCAAAACAATTTATAAATAAAACTTGCGTGTTTATTGTTCTTCGCCAAGATTTATTGGCAGATTGCGAAATTCGCTATGACGCACTGAATATTCGAGAACTAACGCACACACGTATCAATTTGTGTATTGCATTACAGATTTAATTAATTCAAGGATTTTGTTAACGTAATTGTGATATTTTAGCTGAAACTTAAGCATTTGCTTAAATAAGGCGACGTATGAAAATTTTCAATTGCTTGCAACGCTCTGACGTCATCAGTATACACACGAAAAATTTGTATGTATGCATTTTGAGCTGCACACACACCACCAAAAAGTGACGAAGCAACGGAACAAAGGTTTCAAAATCTCCATTTTTCTTTGTTACCCCGTTTCTTCGTCTTTGCTGAAATAATCGAAGGGAGGGGAAGAACACGAAACAATAGAAACTTAAAAAGCAGGCGTCGATAAGTTAACTGTCATTTCGATTACTCACACGAAAAATTTCATCAGTTTGTGTATTTTCACCAACCGAAACAGATCTGAATTTTAACTGATTTTCCATCTCTCGATTTTCTACCCGCAGAATAATCCAAAATGCAGATCTTTGTGAAGACCTTGACTGGAAAGACCATTACTTTGGAGGTGGAGCCCTCCGATACGATTGAGAATGTGAAGGCCAAGATCCAGGATAAGGAGGGCATCCCCCCAGATCAGCAGCGTCTGATCTTCGCCGGCAAGCAACTGGAGGACGGACGCACCCTGTCCGACTACAACATCCAGAAGGAGTCGACCCTCCACTTGGTCCTCCGTCTGCGCGGTGGAATGCAGATCTTTGTCAAGACTTTGACCGGCAAGACCATCACTCTCGAAGTTGAGCCTTCTGATACCATCGAGAATGTGAAGGCCAAGATCCAGGACAAGGAGGGAATCCCCCCAGATCAACAGCGATTGATCTTCGCCGGAAAGCAGCTTGAGGACGGTCGCACTTTGTCTGATTACAACATCCAGAAGGAGTCGACCCTCCACTTGGTACTCCGTCTGCGCGGTGGAATGCAGATCTTCGTCAAAACTCTTACTGGCAAGACCATCACCCTGGAGGTGGAGCCTTCGGACACCATTGAAAACGTAAAGGCCAAAATCCAAGACAAGGAGGGTATTCCCCCAGATCAGCAGCGTCTTATCTTCGCCGGAAAGCAGCTTGAGGACGGTCGCACTTTGTCCGATTATAACATCCAGAAGGAGTCGACCTTGCATTTGGTTCTCCGTCTGCGTGGTGGTATGCAAATCTTCGTGAAGACTTTGACCGGAAAGACCATTACTCTGGAAGTGGAGCCTTCGGACACCATTGAAAACGTCAAGGCCAAGATCCAGGATAAGGAGGGCATCCCCCCAGATCAGCAGCGTCTTATCTTCGCCGGAAAGCAGCTTGAGGACGGTCGCACTTTGTCTGATTACAACATCCAGAAGGAGTCGACCCTCCACTTGGTACTCCGTCTGCGCGGTGGAATGCAGATCTTCGTCAAAACTCTTACTGGCAAGACCATCACCCTGGAGGTGGAGCCTTCGGACACCATTGAAAACGTAAAGGCCAAGATCCAAGACAAGGAGGGTATTCCCCCAGATCAGCAGCGTCTCATCTTCGCCGGAAAGCAGCTTGAGGATGGTCGCACTTTGTCCGATTACAACATTCAGAAGGAGTCGACCTTGCATTTGGTTCTCCGTCTGCGTGGTGGTATGCAAATCTTCGTGAAGACTTTGACCGGAAAGACCATTACTCTGGAAGTCGAGCCTTCTGATACCATTGAAAACGTCAAGGCCAAGATCCAAGACAAGGAGGGAATTCCCCCAGACCAGCAGCGTCTCATCTTCGCCGGCAAGCAACTGGAGGACGGACGCACCCTGTCTGACTACAACATCCAGAAGGAGTCGACCCTCCACTTGGTGCTTCGTCTACGCGGTGGAATGCAGATCTTCGTCAAAACTCTTACTGGCAAGACCATCACCCTGGAGGTGGAGCCTTCGGACACCATTGAAAACGTCAAGGCCAAGATCCAAGACAAGGAGGGTATTCCCCCAGATCAGCAGCGTCTTATCTTCGCCGGAAAGCAGCTTGAGGACGGTCGCACTTTGTCCGATTATAACATCCAGAAGGAGTCGACCTTGCATTTGGTTCTCCGTCTGCGTGGTGGTATGCAGATCTTCGTGAAGACTTTGACCGGCAAAACCATCACTCTTGAAGTTGAGCCTTCTGATACCATCGAGAATGTGAAGGCCAAAATCCAGGACAAGGAGGGCATCCCCCCAGATCAGCAGCGTCTCATCTTTGCCGGAAAGCAATTGGAAGACGGACGCACCCTGTCCGACTACAACATCCAGAAGGAGTCGACTTTGCATTTGGTTCTCCGTCTGCGTGGTGGTATGCAGATTTTTGTCAAGACTTTGACCGGAAAGACCATCACTCTTGAGGTGGAGCCATCGGACACAATTGAGAATGTGAAGGCCAAGATCCAGGATAAGGAGGGCATCCCCCCAGATCAGCAGCGTCTCATCTTTGCCGGAAAGCAACTGGAGGACGGACGCACCCTGTCCGATTACAACATCCAGAAGGAGTCGACCTTGCATTTGGTTCTCCGTCTGCGTGGTGGTATGCAGATCTTCGTGAAGACTTTGACCGGCAAAACCATCACTCTTGAAGTTGAGCCTTCTGATACCATTGAGAATGTGAAGGCCAAAATCCAGGACAAGGAGGGCATCCCCCCAGATCAGCAGCGTCTTATCTTCGCCGGAAAGCAGCTTGAGGATGGTCGCACTTTGTCCGATTATAACATCCAGAAGGAGTCGACCTTGCATTTGGTTCTCCGTCTGCGTGGTGGTATGCAAATCTTTGTGAAGACTTTGACCGGAAAGACTATCACTCTGGAAGTCGAACCTTCTGATACCATTGAAAACGTCAAGGCCAAGATCCAAGACAAGGAGGGAATTCCCCCAGACCAGCAGCGTCTCATCTTCGCCGGCAAGCAACTGGAGGACGGACGCACCCTGTCCGACTACAACATCCAGAAGGAGTCGACCCTTCACTTGGTACTCCGTCTCCGCGGTGGAATGCAGATCTTTGTCAAGACACTTACTGGCAAGACCATCACCTTGGAAGTTGAGCCATCAGACACCATTGAGAATGTGAAGGCCAAGATCCAGGATAAGGAGGGTATTCCCCCAGATCAGCAGCGTCTCATCTTCGCCGGAAAGCAGCTTGAGGATGGTCGCACCCTGTCCGATTACAACATTCAGAAGGAGTCGACCCTGCATTTGGTTCTCCGTCTGCGTGGTGGTATGCAGATTTTCGTAAAGACTTTGACCGGAAAGACAATCACTCTTGAGGTGGAGCCATCCGACACCATTGAGAACGTGAAGGCTAAAATCCAAGACAAGGAGGGTATTCCCCCAGATCAGCAGCGTCTCATCTTCGCCGGAAAGCAGCTTGAGGACGGTCGCACTTTGTCCGATTACAACATTCAGAAGGAGTCTACCTTGCATTTGGTTCTCCGTCTGCGTGGTGGTATGCAAATCTTCGTGAAGACTTTGACCGGAAAGACCATCACTCTTGAAGTTGAGCCTTCTGATACCATCGAGAATGTGAAGGCCAAAATCCAGGACAAGGAGGGCATCCCCCCAGATCAGCAGCGTCTCATCTTTGCCGGAAAGCAATTGGAAGACGGACGCACCCTGTCCGACTACAACATCCAGAAGGAGTCGACTTTGCATTTGGTTCTCCGTCTGCGTGGTGGTATGCAGATTTTTGTCAAGACTTTGACCGGAAAGACCATCACTCTTGAGGTGGAGCCATCGGACACAATTGAGAATGTGAAGGCCAAGATCCAGGATAAGGAGGGCATCCCCCCAGATCAGCAGCGTCTCATCTTTGCCGGAAAGCAACTGGAGGACGGACGCACCCTGTCCGATTACAACATCCAGAAGGAGTCCACTTTGCACTTGGTGCTTCGTCTCCGCGGAGGAATCCAGGCTTAAACTGAATACATTTCCAAATAAACACAATTCTTAGCACGCACTTTACCCGAGACTCATTCAAGACCAATTTTAGCAAGCAATAGACGGCGGCCCCGCCCCTTTCTGTAGTTTTGGAAGGGGCGGCAGTATTAAAATTCCAAATTCCCAGTTCAAACCAATATATCCCTTTAGTTATGGCTTTTAATTCAATATAACCAAATTTCCTTTTCAAATTCATAATACACTTAAATAAATGAAGTTATTTGAAATCTGCTGTGATTTTTAATGGCATGGTATTTGAATTTGGCGCGCTTGCTAGGTAAATACCAAAAATACTAGATTTGGTTTAATGCGGCCCTGGCTGGCCAAGAAGGAGGCGTTAGTTCATTTTCATTATTTACCTTTTGCCGAAGTAAATTGATAATTTGCAAAAAATGGCTAAATTATTGCAGCGCGTAGAAATAACGCTCCGTAGCTTTTATATATTCAACTCCAGTTTTGGCCAAATTGAAGGAGAGGTGGGTTTAACATTTGCAAAGCGAAGGAAACGCCCCTAAATGAGTAATATTTGCAGGAACACAAAAAGATTTTGTACTACCATCCAAATGACATTGAATTAAACACAAAAATCAAGGACGTGGGACTGAGTGAAGCCATCATTAGGTTTACAGGGTACTTATTGGACTTTGTACTTCGTGGAGAAGTGAGTAATAGTAATGACTTTTCTGCTTTTCCAGAACTTTTACCTCCGAAGATGATTGTCAGGCATTGCACACCCAGAAAACTACCCAACTTTTTTACCAACCAGAGCCAGGATATTGGCTGGTTTTGGTCTTAAATGTGCCCAAGGAGGTGCGACTAAAGGAGGGCGTGGAGGTGGCCGATTATCGGGGGGCAGAGATCTCGGACAGGATTTATAGAGCCATCCTAAGGCAATGCTTTCAAATGTTTCGCTTTCAACATGGAAGTTTTTCCTCCTTCGGAAGTGAAGAATCGAGTTCGGATAAGCGAAGGGAACTGCTCTGCCAGGAGCTCTTGAAATTCTACGATCAACACCTGACCAACCTGAAGGATCCCTCGCAATGTGATATTATCGACATGCTGCATTCCATACAATATCTTCCCCTGGACAAATCGCTCTTTCTGCGTGCCCAAAACTTTGGCACGTTGGGCGAGACCTTTCCTGCCATTAAGCAGATCATAATGCTCTACCAGGAGCAGGTCCTTTGTGGCGGAAAACTTAAACCGGAGGATCTGCACAGCTTGCATTCGTTTGTGGTGCAGCATGTGCTGAAAGCGGAGGCCAGCAACTCGTCCATTGCAGTGAGTCCCTCGCTGAAGAGGAGCATAAGTGAATGCCAGGTGGGAGGATTCGTCAGAAATCAGAAAGGCGAGGGCGATAATCAGGAGGTTGTCATTGAGGAGGATCATCCCCTGAAGGTCTATGTTACGTTGGAGAAGGAAGCGAAGCCCTATTACTTGCTCATCTATCGTGCTCTGCACATAACACTCTGTCTGTTTCTTGATGGTATGTTGTAGTACAATCGAAACCATAACCAACCCAACTAAAAACTTGATCTTTCAGCTGACCAACCCCCACCAAAGCAAGAGCTGTACGACGAGCTCCATGGCTACATGGCTCCACAATTGACTTCCCTGGCCCGGGATATAACCAACGAGTTGAACAAGGAGGCAGTGGGTGCCACAGGGCAGGAAAACTCCACCGGCGATATGGCCCCCAAGTACCTGTTTATTAACGAACAAAGTCTGCAGCATCATACGAATTTTCAGAGGCACCTGCCCCAAGGATTACCACGTAATGTCCTTAGCATTATAGCGGATTTGTCCAATTCAAGTGAGAAAGAGGAGATGGAGAATGCGCCTGCCGAGGAGCTTCAGGTGAAGACCACCAATGACTATTGGATTGTGAAGAGGCGCTGTAACTATAGGCAATACTATGTGATCCTGTGCAATAGCAAGGCCACCCTGTTGGATGTAACCCAGGAAGCGAGGCGCATTTTCGAGCAGGAACTCACAGATGATGTATTCTTTGACAAATAAAGAGGAGGATCAGATACAGAATGGGAGTGCGCCAATTGTGGGGTCTTTGCCCGGTTCCCTGCCAACAGAATCTGCAAGTGGATCGGGCATCCGAAGTCGGATTTCAAGCCAGCACCGCCCCGGTGTCGCTGGCATCGTTATACACACTGTTGGAGGAGGATGAGCTGGTGGTCGTGGTGACTCCGTTCTGGGATTTGCTGATCTTCACGATGTATATTCGACGATTGGACATGCAGATGCTGTAGTAGTGCTGCTCGTAGTCTATAGTGATCCTCTCGCAGCTGCTGTTCGGCATGAAGGACTCGTCGATACTAAGATATAGGGGTAATTATCAATGGATCCCTGCAGTCTTTGTTTTTCCGGAACCCACCTCTCTGTGAGATTCAGCAATCCCATTATCACGTTTGCACTGTGCTCATCGTTCTTGAGGTCTCCGCCAGATTCCAGGACTGCTCCATCTTCCTTAAGTATCAGGTAACCAATTTGATTGGACACAATCAACTTTTCCCTGTCCATTTTTATTATTATTATTATTTATCTTTTTTTCACCCACACCCTCTAGTGTGACCAGAGTGTTGAATTACAGAGATACCGTTACTTTGGTTACCTAAAACATGATAACTCTTCAATTTAATGCCTATTTCTTGATAAGACATAAAACTACTTAAATCAATATTATTTAAAAGCCTTATAATTACTAGAATCTTTTAAAAACGGAGTTACTCTTTAAAAATACTGAAAATTAAAACAGCAGAACTGGCAATCTGACAACCCTAGTTAAGTGTTGCAAACCTTCCTCGACAGTGTTGCAAAACGCCTATTGCGCGCCATTGACACAAATTCGAAATTGGGACACCGGGCTAAGGTTAATGCATTCACAAGACAAACAACGCACTTCAACAGGAAACTAAAACTCCGGCTCTAAGTCAATAGGGGGCGTGGTCGATATCGGGGCGTGTGCAAGTGCATGGCTAATGCCTACGTCTGGACGAAAAAAGTGGTAAAAGGCCATGGACAAGGAAATTCCGGACACAGTCTCTCCGGAATGGCCAACTACTATCGACGCAAGAAAGCCGACGCGGTGTTCCTAAACGCAAAACCCCTGAATAGTGCCAATGCCCAGGCATATTTGTACGGCGTTCGGAAGTACTCCACTGGATTGGCGGAGCGTTTGGATGCGGATTACGAGGCGCCGCCGATGGACAGGAAAAAGAGCTCGGACAGCAGGGCCTCCAATAATCCGGAGTTTACGCCGGTGAGTGAAGGTTCTTCTGCTGTCAAATTCCCTTTATAGAGCTGGTTATCCCTGCTTCCAGAGTGTTTTCTACAGGAACATAGCTCCTGTCAACTGGTTCTTAAGGATTATTGGAGTATTACCCATAGTGCGACGTGGTCCTGCCCGTGCAAAGTTCGAAATGAACTCCGCCTCCTTTATTTACTCAGTGGTTTTCTTTGTGCTACTGGCGGTGAGTGGATTTTTTGTTTAATAATTTAGAAACTCCAAAAACTAAAAAAAAATCGTGTATATGGAAAATCAAATTCTGTGTTATGTAAAAATGTGTGAATGTTATATAATAATGAAGACTTAAGTCACCTGGACATTTTTAAAATTTCTAGACAAGAACTCTTAAAATATTTTGAAACCATAATCGTGATTTTTTTGGGAAGCGGAGAATATTTTTAGTTTGTAGATTAAATTGTGTAAATTATATTAATTAACTTGATTACCATCTCCTCCAGTGTTACGTGGGCTATGTGGCCAACAACCGCATCCACATTGTGCGATCCCTGAGTGGACCCTTCGAAGAGGCGGTGATTGCCTACTTGTTTCTGGTCAACATCCTGCCCATTATGATCATACCCATCCTGTGGTATGAGGCCAGAAAAATAGCCAGACTCTTCAACGATTGGGATGACTTCGAGGTGTTGTACTACCAGATCTCCGGGCATAGTTTGCCACTGAAACTCAGACAGAAGGCGGTGTATATAGCCACCGTGTTGCCGATCCTCTCGGTTTTATCGGTGGTTATCACCCACATTACCATGTCGGATTTGAATATCAATCAGGTGGTGCCTTACTGCATCCTGGATAACTTGACGGCTATGCTGGGTGCCTGGTGGTTCCTCATATGCGAAGCCATGAGTATTACGGCCCATTTGTTGGCGGAGAGGTTTCAGAAGGCCTTGAAACACATTGGACCCGCTGCCATGGTAGCGGACTACCGGGTTTTGTGGCTCAGATTAAGCAAGTTAACCCGGGATACTGGAAATGCCATGTGCTACACCTTTGTCTTCATGAGTCTCTACCTGTTCTTCATCATCACCCTGTCGATTTACGGACTTATGTCTCAGCTCTCTGAGGGATTTGGCATCAAGGACATAGGACTTACTATCACAGCTTTGTGGAACATTGGACTACTATTCTATATTTGCGATGAGGCACATTATGCTTCGGTTAATGTAAGAACCAATTTCCAAAAGAAACTGTTGATGGTGGAGTTAAACTGGATGAATTCGGATGCCCAGACGGAGATAAATATGTTTTTGCGAGCCACCGAGATGAATCCCTCGATCATCAACTGCGGTGGTTTCTTTGATGTGAACAGAAGTCTCTTCAAGGGACTTTTAACCACTATGGTCACATATCTTGTGGTTTTGCTGCAGTTCCAGATCAGTATTCCCACAGATAAGGGGGACTCTGATGGCGCTACTAATATCACCGTTGTGGATTTTGTAATGGACAGCCTGGATAATGATATGAGTCTAATGGGAGCCACTACTCCGAGCACCACCACTGCAGGAACCACAATGGCACCACCGATTATCAAGCAAAAGGGAAGGAAGGGTTAATGGAAACTGAAAAAACAAAAGGATTAAGCATTAGGCTAATTAGATAAACCTAATGTTGTGCGTTTAAAATAAAGTGCATCTGTAGCTGAGGCCAAATAATAAAAGCACCTAAAATTAAAAATCCCTTTGATACATTACCATTTTTAAAAAAGGTACGTACAAGTAGGTTAAAAAAATACTCCAGAAATAAGTTCTTAGGATATGTTACAATTTTGCACTTTTATTTGATATTCATACGTTTGTTGTTCTGTGCTACAAAACAAGAATACTTAAATTATTGCTATTTAACTGAGTTTAAGGCATATTTAGTAAATTTCTCTTACGTCTACAAAGAAAATGAACATTAAACTTCGTTGCTATTTATTTGAATGCCAATTGAAATCAGACAAGCTTAACTTTTTCAAGCTTCCCACATCAAAATCCGGCTTGAGCTTTTGCCGTAGCCCAGAGGTTTGAGAGTGCGGCTTTTGCTTGGAAGTCCCGAGTTCAAGACCTGTGACTAATATTTTTTTATTTAATAAAATTCGTTTCTTCTTGTTCTACCTTGGATTTAGGTGCTGGATTAACTTTAGGAGTTAGTTCTACACAAAAATAGTTTATGTACTTGGCGGCAAGCCGATATTGCCTCTCCTTTTGGGATATAGACGAGTTTTATACGCTTTGTAATATGTATTAATATGCCCCTCTATCCATATCCGTTGGCTATCTAAAATAGTATCTGTTCTATTACCATATCACACTCATTTTCGCAATACAGAAACTGTAGTACAATTGCAATCAAGACACCTGATGGGGAAGTTCCAAAAAAATTCTATCTCTCTTCATTTATTTAACACTGTCCATCGGGAGATTCGGTTAGGATGTGTTTATAACCATTGCTGCCCAGATACATGTGCTCGCGTTGGAATCGATAGGGTATCTAGTGGATAAGGGGATTATTCAAAGTGGTTAAAGATATTCAGATCCAAACTTACGGCTCCTGGAGCTGGACAAGGTATGGCCACAGTGGCAATCTCCCTGAGTTTGTTCATGGTACGCAAGCTTTGGTAGAAACTATGGATTACATACCACTTGCAGTAATCCATGCAGATCAAGACGTAGCAGATGATAACTGAAATATTGGATAGGACCTCTCAAAATATATTTTAAAATGCTTTATAATGTACAAACTCACAGTAGGGCACTTGTCCACCCAGCAATTGCACTATCTTCGTATCTCTCAGCATGAAAACCAGAGCTCCCAGTCCCACCATCAAAAGGAACTCTACGATCAGCCAGGGAATAATCAATCCCGGTCGATTCTTGTACACCCCAAAGAACAGGGATATGGCACTTAGGGCATAGGTTCCCGCCACTCCAGCCATCACATAGAGTAGATTTTCCGTGGCAGCCGCCAATTGGGCAGCGGTCTGTAAGCGAAGATCATTGTGGAAGGGCGACATGTTGTAGAAACCATTGTCCTTCTGGTCCAGGATGTCCAGCTCCAAGACCTCGCACATCTGTTCGGCATGAGCCAGCCCCAAAAGAACCAGGAACAGGGCGCAGTGCGAAATTAACTGGGGGAAAATGAAGATTTTTTTTGTATAAGGTAATAATATTTAGTGTCTTAAGATAAAACCATTTTTCGCTTACAAAAATTGTATGTATATAATTATTAATATTGGAAATCTAAAAACAAAATCTTTTGCAAAGTGTTAAAATATAAGATTAAACACTTTATAATTAAGGTACCTATGTATTAGAACAGATTTTAGATCTTCAATATGCTAAAAACTTATGAACAGGTACTTTATAATTAGGAAAACAATACGCAGAGCAAGACTTTGTATTTCCCATTTAAATTTTAAGATATTTATAAGAAAAGTTTTCAGATCTCTCATATCCAAAACGCATAACATTTAGTATTGGCGAAAACCGGAACATCCCAACGATCAGCTGAGGTTACCACCCCTATTCACCCCTCAAACTGAACAACCGAGTGTTGTTCCAACAATTCCCAACTGGTTCTGGCAGCTGTTGACATGACTCCCCCTAATTCTCCAATCACAACGTAAAAAGGGCGCTCGTCCTGGCACGTTCGATCACTGAACACAAGTGCAGACGCATTGCGCCGCAGGAGCGTCTCCTTCGCTCCGCCCCTGGGTTTCCAGGAGCGGGCGGGGGCGAGCGTACCATTGCCGCCTTCGACGGCTCCTTGCGCGCCCAGTGGGGTATGGCTTTGCATATCCAGTGCGTAATTTTTTGACCTGGGGCCGCGGCTGCATATCCTGGATTGCTCGTGGGATCCCCGGATCCCCCTGCGTGCCTGTGCGCTGCGCCCCGCCTGAAGTATTCATTCCTGGTTCGCTTATATAATAGAAATGCCTTGGGGATATGTCTTTCCTAACTCACCAATTGATAGATGCTCGTCAACAGGGCTGTGGTCCTTAGATTCTTGGGCGATACGGGCGCCATCATCATTTCCCAGCTGCGGCGACAGCAGTTTTTCCACTTGCATCCTACGGCGGACGAACCGCTCACAGTCGGCAGCAGCATTTCGTTGGAGTTTTCCTGATTTTCCTGTTTTTCCCTCAATCAATTTATGGATTTTTCCCGCTTTCAGCTAATCAAGAAGCGACGCAACTGTTCCGCGGCTGTTTCGTCATGCAATTGGACTTGGAGACTTCGCGAAAAAGGCGGAGAGGGACAGCACCCACGCAGTCCAAACTTTTCCGGAGCTTTTCCCTCTGGTTTGGGTGAAAACTGCACTGCTGAATTAATCAACAAAACTATATGGATATAACAACGTTGAGTGCCAAGGTTGGCGAAATGTTTTGACTATGTGAAAAGCTTTTGCGACTGTGTTTTGCTTTATTATCTAGGAATAGGAGTGTTGACTATGTGATAAGACTTGCCGCCCTTTAATATATTTAAACCATTTTTTATATATTTATATATTCTGAAAGCATTTTTAAACTTCCTTTTCGGATTATATCTACACCAACTAAATGGGGTATACCTTTAAAAGTTTGTAGTTTAATTAAAAATAATTTATATTTATTTTGGCCATATAACACTTGTTGAAATTTCGACTCCAACCTAATGAATTTCTTATAAAAATATAGTCCGTAGCTCAAGATCATGATATTTCAAAAATTCGTTGTATTTCTTTTGAAAGAATTATATATTTTTAATACTAAAGGGTATACAAATATTCCACTTCGAGTATCATCCCTATATCGAACTAATTTGGGGGTTGTTTTCCTCTTGAAACCGCGCAGATGTTTATCGCCCCATTTACAGAGCTTTTTTTTTTGTGACTTTTCAAAGCTTCCGACAGAGTTGCCACTGCTTTCGTTGCCCAAGCAATTAAAGTTGGCTCGGGACTTCCCCCTTCGAACCGCGGCCCGTTGCTATGATAAATTTTTGCATTTTAAAAGTCAATTTACACTGGAACTATAAAAATGTAACATAAATTTTGCCAAAGCAGGCCATAAAACTCCTGCCAGTCGGCGCGGAAAGAGAATCAAAGTCGTGTCGATGCCACTGGGCAACACTCCAGCTTCAGCTCCAACTCCAACCGTCCTAACCATCCGAAGCCCCATCATCACCATCATGATCTTCGGGGGACTGGAACTGGAGATGGGAATGGGTTTGCGAATGGGACTGCGACTTATGGCGCTCCCTTGGAGTTGGGAGCTACTTGTGGGCCTAATTGATTGTTTTTCTACGAGCTCGAAGCTCCGAAAACTCCTGGCGAGGATCGACTGAGGATTCTGGGGATCATCTCACAATGTTGGTGGAAAAAGGAAACGATGATGAAGACCTCAGGGGCAATATATGTATGTTGTTGGCGGCTTGTTATCATTGGGCGTGTTTTATTAACTTTTAAGCTGCCATGCACGCGAGGGGCCATAAAAAGTGCAACTGGCGGTGGCTCCGACAACTGCAAAACTGCAAAAGTCAATTAAAAATTTTTTACATTTGTTTGCACACACAGGAATGGAACGCGGTAATATTTTTTTTAGCAGCCCCATACCAACCTCCATCCTGGCGCGATAATCATAACTGCAAAAAAGTAAGAAAACTACGCGCAGGCGTCGCCCGTCGATAATTTATGGCCAAAAAGTGATGGCCAAAGGGGGCCAAAAGGGTTCGGCGTTTCGGACTTTAGGACTTTCGGAGCACAGGTGATCCGATCCCGGCAAGCTGGTGTATTGAAATATCATCTTGCAACCATTTGCCGTTCAATTTGCGTTCGCAACGCTCTTTTGATTGGTTTTTCCAGCCCATCACCCGAACCGCCCTCTTGCACTCCACGCGATTCGACTACAAATTGATTGCCTTAAAGTAACTTGTAAAATGCATCTAAGAGATGCACTCGAAAAAATTCCTTAGGTTCTACGTGTCTTGGAAAATTTTAAAATCGAAATAAGACAGTTTTACATTGGTTACTTTTATTACATCAAATATTTTATTGATAGAATTACTCTCTACAATCTTATTATAAGTAGTATATCTATAAAATAATGTTACGGATTTTAATAACAATAAAGAACAGTTCTTAACCATTTACACTATAAATAAAATATTTCATATGTTCTTAAGATCATTTTCAACCAAAATCTTATAACTTGTATTCTCTTTGGTATTAAAAATAATACGAGTATCTTTATGTTAATTTAAAAACTTATAATATAAAATGTATAGTAATATAAATGTATAGTAGTAAAGAATGTTTAAAATTAAGGTGGTTATATCATATAAACTACATGGTATTGAGCTTGATCATTATGAATTTCCGGAAATAATTGTATTCGAACTATATCTCTTGGTATGTAGACTTCGTTTTGTCTTAGTATTTAAATCAAGTGAAAACAAAAGAAGTATGAGAAGTTCATGTTTCTTATAATTTTTTAGTGAAATATTTGTTATATTGGTAATTTTTTTCTCCAAGTGTTAGCATCCAATGCAGTTCCTCTGCTGTCTTTGCTGCTTCCTGGGGTCCTCTTTCAGCCAAAAACAGAAGCAACATTACAAATGTGTGGCGTTATTGCCACGGGGGAGGAGTCAGGAGTCAAGGAGTCAGGAGCATCGACTTCTTTTTGATTAAAAAAGGAAAAAGTGGGAGAGCAGGCGGATCGGTTAGGCAAGGAGTTGGATTTATCTGGAAGTGGATGTGGTTGGGGAATCGAGCACTGTGGATTGGGGATTGGGGATATAGACGACTGGTTGCCCAAAAGCAATCGACGTTGTTAACAAGCATTTCAGCGCATGACAATTGGCATGCACACCTCCGGGCCATTAATATGCAACCGATGCTGACACATTTGGAGCTCAGCTGAGCTGCAACTCCTGTCATTCTGCAGCCACAACCACCGAGGGGACTGGGCCTTAGTTATTTAATCACAGAAAATCTTACGAGCATAAATAACATTTCCCCGACTTATTTGCACAATTTGTTTGCCTGTTTTGACAGTCGGGTTTGCAGGCATTTTCGATCTAAGAAAGTTGCAGGTTTTTAGGAGTGGGTTGGGGTAGTTTAATAGTTGTGGTAAGCTTGGTTTATAGGGATCTGAAAGTAATTATGAAAATAAAAACGAATTCTTTCTGGGTGGATCCCCATTTTAAATAGAAGAAAATCGATAATATTTTGACATATAATGAAGTATTTGTTCCATATATAAAAAATTATTTTGATGCACAACATTTTCGAAAATGTATAACTATTTATGATAAGATGTTTAAAAAAAAAAGGTAAATTGTTTAAGAATCTTTCAGGTTTCTCCTAAGCAGCGTTCATAAAGCTATCATCTTGAAAATTCTTAAGCATTACTCATCCTATTAGTTTCATAATTTTGCACCTTTCACTGAATCGAATCCCCTTAAACCATTGTCACGTTTTTGGAATCACATTCTGAAGCCAAATATCAATTGTCGCACATATTTGCAAAGGCCAAATATGAGAGGGAGCTTCGGAGGGTTTGGGATCCCCCCTTATAAGCAGGGATGTATTGTCATCTCATCGTTTGGGGATACATTTTCACATCGCTGACTTGTTTCGCGGATTTTCGCGGTGAAGCAATGATGAAGATGGTGCCAGTTGTGATTAAACATGCAACCCCCACCGCAACAGCAGCAACACGCACAGCAGCAACATCATAAACCCCGCAGCAACATCAGTTCCTGCAACGGCAATTGCAAACAAACGAGTGAGAAAACCCTCACTCACTCGAATCTCAAGGGTGTGTTCAATTGTGTCAATTTAACGCCTTTTATGGCCCACCAAACTCGAACCATTTGCACCCCACTCCAATACCAATGAAACCCCCTTTTTAGCCCCTGAAAACCCACTTTTTGGACCCCTTACCCCGACATATTGCTGCTGCACGTTGGGCATGTTAATTATTGCAGGGCAACGGTTTCAAATAGATCGCTGATGCTGATGTTTAGCCCACTCCATTTGCCAGCAGTGTTAATTATCCATTCCCTTCCATTCCAACCAATATCCATCCGATGGATGGATAGTTTCATCTGGGATATCGTCTATTTGCCAACTGCATGCTCGCTTTACGCCGGCCAAACACGATTATTAGTAGTTGCCTGTCTAAATATTGGAAATTGTCAATGTGCCAGCAGCGATGCTTAAATGGTTTATGGATATATATACATATAGGGATGTGCATCTGATGAAGGACAAGGATTCATCATCCGAAGGATGCAGATTGGCAAACACGGATACGGATTGCTGGGAAGGAAGAAGTAAGCTTCTCCATGGCAAATGTGGGCGGTGTTTTGCCAACAGGAATTGTAATTAAATTGGTAGTTGCACAAAGCGTTTACAAGAAGATACAATCAAGATATCACCATTAAAAGGAATTAAAAGATTGAAGAGCTTATACGATTTGGTAATTATTTTTTGATGTAAATTTAATCTTACAAAAAGTTCTTCAACTAATATTGGAATTTTGATTTAAGATAGCCTTTTAAATATTTGTATGTTACTTTGTAAATCCTAGTTCCAGTATCTTTTAATATTTTTTAAAATATTACGTGTAACTTGCAAGTTATAAAATCCATACTTATGTATAGTGAAATAAATACTGACTTATATATCCCTATACAATATAATTTTTCCTTCACCAAAATTAAGCAAAATTTACGTGCCACCCAAAAGGCCTTCGGGCTAAATCTAATTAGCATTGCGAATTGTACCTACATTGTTATGAATATATAAATATAACCACTGAAGAAGGTTTCATATAGTTCCCTTGGGTGTGTATTTATTTAATCCCTTTTATTTGGTGTAACCCTTGCCTTAAATTAGGCAATACTTAAACAAATACCTAGCTGCCCTCTGGTCAAATGTAATCAGAGCTTTCAGGAGTTCTGTCAAATCGGGAAAATCATAAAATTCATAGGCTTTAAGATGCGCAACGTGCTGAAAGGAGCAAAAGCAGTCGTCGCGCTTGCCTGGCAAATATCCTTGATATCATTTAGTCAACTGGAAAAAATTCAATCAGCATACTTGGCAAATATTCAACAGCGCTCTGGAT